TATAGCCTAGGAAACTCTATGGGACAGTTCTTCTCTGTCCTGTAGGGTAGGTATGAATCTTAATTGACTTTATGGCACACAGTTACAACAGCATTAGAAGACCCAAATTCTGTGGCAAGATGTTTATCTGAAAATGAGCCATGTTACATAAAATTCTCATTTGATAAGGATACTAAATTTTGTGATTCTACAGCTTGCAATTTCCCACATTTGTTAATTATGGAGAGTAAACAGTGAAACATTACAATCCTTCAGCTCTCCCTAAGTACATCAATTTTTACTTCTCTCCATTCATTACGGTATGAAACGTATAATATTCACTTATTACATTCACATCTCTGATACTCTTATCCGTGTTTTTTTTGCAGGAGAAACTGTTAAAGCAAATGAGGTCTTTATGGGAAAAGATCCAAGAAAATCAGAGGAATCTAAATAAGGAGAGACGAATAGCCAGAGAGTGGGATGTAAGTATGAGACTGTTTTCTGTGGAATCAGCTATGACACACTTGCTGAGATTTGTCCATTAAGAACTTGAGCTGAAATTGTGGTGTGCCATGAGATGCTGTGAGTGGTTTATCAATAGGAAAAGCACCATAATCTGCCTTTCCAATGTAAGATAGCGTGGATCTTAGTTAAGAAAAATAAACCCTAATATATCAGCCACGCCTCAAAAAAAAAAATGTGGCCGCTAGGACAAAGAGTGCTGTGCTGGTGGTACATAGAGGGATTTGGAGAAATTCACTAAACATGTTTCAGGACTTCAGGAAGTTTCTCAGATAAGGTTCAAATCAATCTGAGTTCGGCAGGAAAAATGTTAAAATATCCAGGGGTCTTTTCAGGCAGAGATTTCTGTATGAGATGAAGTCTGGAAGTTAAATAACATATAAAGGGGAACTGAATACATTTCACAATTCTAAATACAGTGATGCCTATGGGAGAAATAGTGGGTTTGAACAGCAATTTAAGAAGTGTGCCTTTGATGATCAAAATGGATTGTACATATGCTTGAGAATGATATTGGTTCGAGTTGGAGTAACTAGAACATGTTGAAAAGCTGAGGAAAAGGGACTAAGAAAGTGTGTGGGAGAGAGAGATTGAATAGATAAATATTGGGAGAAGATATGCAATGGAATGAGAATTAATATCCTTAAAACCACAGGACAGTATGGAAGCTTGTGGAATTAATAGGAGGAAGAAAGTGAACTGATAGACAAGAAAGGCAGAAACAAGGATTAGAGGACAGAAATCAGTGTGAAAGCCTGGTTAAGAATTTTAGGAAGAGCTTGCCTCATAGCTTCTAAGTCTGAAATATGTAACTTTTGTGTAAAAAGTGAATGGTCAGCCTATGGAGTAGGAAGGTTTGAGACAGGGACTAATGTAAGATAATAAGAATATTACATATAACGATTTAATAAACCAGTTGCTGTCTCCAACTCATGGTGACTCCGGGTGTATGAGAGCTAGGTTGGAGATTAAGTTTACCCAGAGGCACCTCAGAGGAAAGGCCTGGGGATCTGCTTCTGAAAATGAGGATACTGAAAACCCTAAAGAGCGCAATTCTACTCTGACACACATGGGCTCTCCTTGAGTTGGAGATGACTCTGCTGCAGCTAATAATGATTTAATAGTCAACCATAATTCAATAATTTTCATGTAGTCTTTCAGATTTTAAAGAATATGTATTAAAGAAATAAACTATGAGAAGCATTTCTGCAGATGTTTCAGGAACTTATGAAGTGAAGGAAAGTATTTTGAAGGAAGGGTGGGCTTGACTCATTAATGGAGAACAAATGAAGGAATGAAACAGAGGGATGACTGTGGTTTCTGATAAGTCAAAGGACATGGGTTTAGGTTGTGTGTAGTTGATTGGTAGAGGACGTGAGTCAAAGAGAAATAGATGAGGTTTAAGTGGAGGGAGATAACGTTGGCCTGCATATATGTTCTAAGAAATAAATTTCCTTGCAGTTAAATATGTTTATGCGAACATACCTGATCAGAAAAGAGTATCGGAAGTTGCATCCTATCCTCCTTGAAGAGGAAAAACAACACTTACAGGGACTAGAAAGTGAAGGAGAAAAAATCTTCCAGCAACTCAAGGAAAATGAGGCAGCGATGGCTCAAAAGAGAAAGCACCTAAGAGAAATGTATGAAGAGCTGATGAATATTTGCCATAAACCAGATGTGGAGCTACTCCAGGTAAGAACTGACAATGTGCCTGGAATTCATTCGTAGTAGCTGAAGTCCACATATTGAACCTCCAATATATATTTGGTACCAAAAACATAATTCTTAATTTTCTGCTCCTAAGTGGAAGTCATTTCCCAAATGAGAAGAATAGATAAAAATTGTAACTCCTATCCTAGCCATGAACAACAAAGCTTCATGGAAGTACGAGAGTAGATTACCCAAGGAATACCCTAAAAAAGTCTTCTTGTGTACCTTGTTTCTCTAAAAACCAGAAAGGAACAACTTCCTCATGAGCATTCCATTTTTGTCTCCAGTTGGACAGTATGGAGAAATTTGGGAAGAGCTAACTTTTACTTCTTCCTTCTGTTTTAAAGTCCCAGATTTGAATTACCCTTGTTCTGGGGCACATTAATCTTTGGAGACATTCCCTGGGAAAGACCACTTTGGAGACAGCTGACCATTGTATCAGAACAGTCTGTACTCATGTCCTTCTCTTTATTTATTCACCCTCAGATTTCTGAGTTCATCAAGAAATCAGATTCTCTCCACATGTTGTACTGGGATTATCGTTAGAGAGGAAAGGAAAAATCAATTTACCAAAAAATTGTGGTGATGGGTGGGTGGTACCTTCTGAACTTGCCCAAACCTAAAGACTAGATTGGCAGAACCACCAATTTGTGAAGAATTCTAAACGTTTCTTTCTATTCTCTTCACAGGATTTGGGAGACATATTGACCAGGTAAGTTTGGCCTTCACTGCAAACTAGAGCTCCATGAGAGCTGTGAAAGAGACCCTGGTGTTTCTAAAAAAGTGAGAACATAGTTTATAGAAGTATTAGGTATTTAAATTAGTGTTGTTTCTCTCCTGTGACTCAGGGAGGTATGTGTTGCAGAGCTTGGTGCATAAGTGGCTAGAGGAAAGCTACTTATGATTTTAGGTTTCAAACACATAGACTTATTGAGGTGAATGGACTAGTTTGTGCCAGATGGTAGGTGAGAGAGGCAAGTTTCCTCTGGGAGGCAAGAGAAGGAAGCAGGTGGAGAAGAGAGAAAGATTCTCTGAGAATGGTACTATTCCATCCCAGGACTGTGAAGGTACACCACAATATCAGCAATGGGTTCTGATGAAATATTTAGTTAATGCCGATGTGTTTTTTATGTAGAGTGATGACAACTTTGGCACCTGAAAGATAACTGATTCTTTCCTCTTGCAGGAGTGAGTCCGTGCAGCTGCACATGCCCCAGCCTGTGAACCCAGCACTCAGTGCCAGGCCCATCACTGGACTGATAGACAGGTTCAACCAATTCCGAGGTGAGTGTCAGCCCAGTGGTGGGACCTCATAGTGTCTTTCATTTATGGTTTTCTATGAGCAATCTTTCCATCTTTATTAATTCTGGATTGAGGAGAGAACAGCCTGCAAAAAGACATTTATAATCATATTTACCACATGATAATATGAAAAATACCTAAATGAAAGTTGGGGAAAGGCTAAATGCAAGTCGGATCTGTAATAAATTACTTAGAAAGTGAGAGAAAGGAAATAATCAGAAAAGGGCTCCTTGAGGCCTAGACTTATTCTCAGATACAATGTCAGTTGTTCAGTGCCTCATACAGAAATAAGTATTACTTCAGAACCTTCAAATTTAAAATGAAATGCCTATATTAAAAAAAAAATTAAAGTTTCTCAGTAATCAGTTTGTAGTAATGTATTTTAATTAATATGATCAGAAAAATACATGAATAAACATAAAAAAGCAATATGCAGAACACCAGAATTTATGAACAACAATAAAGTAAGTTGGTTGTTGATGAGGCCGTCTTTAGAACTCCGTGGTAGACCTAAACCAGGGGTTTAGCCTAGCAGGCAAAGAACGACTAGGCCTGAGATGGAACCAGGTAAAAAGCCAGAAAATTCTTAGCAGGAGACCCCTTGTAAGAAAGCATACTCAGATATTTTTCTTAAATTTAAATTTGCTT